AAGTCAGTTCTTGTCCATTGGTAAACCAGATACTAAAATTTTTAATAATTAAATTTTTAAGAGTTCCCAATAAGTTTAAATTGATTCAACCACGTTTCAATTACAGTTAAATAGACTGAATATTTTAGAAAAAATCCTAGCAGTTTACTGGTCGGTTGAATGGAGCTTAAACTTTTAACACGTTTGAGGGTGTCAGTTTTGAAAACACGCTGGATTAGGTAAATTATTGGTATGGCTTATAATTTTCTTCATGAAATATAACTTTTGTGAAATTTGTAGGTGTTTATCTTTTCGGTAAATGAAACCTCAAAATTTGACCTATTTGAGTCCAAATTGCACCCAGCCTGTTTTCAAGACTTGTTGATCTTAGTTGCATTTGATTAAGACTATCATGTTAGACCAAGGATCTTCAAACGTTTTGGACCAAGCGCCACATTGAGACCTCGACTAAGTTCCACTGGCCTTATTGAGACCTCCACCTAAGTCCCGGCAGCTAAGGCTAGTGATGAAAAAAAAAAATCGTTCTTTAAATGACACTTCAGCTGTAAAATGAAATTTCTGAGAGTAAAAACAACCATGCAATAAATATTGTAGTAACCTTGTGTGTGTGATTAATTACTAAATTTCATGTTTTTAAAATGTTACCATGTAATCTAAGAAACTTTCGCTGGCGGATTGAAGGTTGAAATCCGGCTCGTGGGTTGTACTTTAGAGACCCCTGTTTAAGACTATTGGTAGCTTTACGTTCGTCTGTTGAATAAATGTATCATTGGGTTCTAGTCCATATTTAGTACCATGATTAGGCAGGTAAAAAAAAAAAAAAAAAAAAAAAAAAAAAACTTTCTTAATAAGCAAAGAATAAAAAATCTTAACACATTCCCAAAACAAGTGTGTTTCGACTAATACCGATATTCTTTCCAGTGATATTACATTATTGGTATAATACTAACAAAATATTTGTAGTAGTGTGTAACTCAATTTTTTATTTTATTTTTTTTTATTTTTTTATTGGGATAGTATGAATATAGTGAGGAGTTAAAAAATAAAATCATCATTAATAAGGGAAATTCACATAATGTTTTTATTGTTATTTTTTATGACTTTGTGCCCTCTCCCCGCAACTACCTCATTTATTTTTGTTTGAGACTTAAAGCTTTATTTTGAAATTTGCCAATAATCAAATTCTGTTTCTTTCAATGCATGCTCCATGTAAGCTAGTGCCTTGGCTATAAATTATTTCATTGTTATTTATCAAGATTTAACTAAATTGCTGCTTTGTAAAAGAAACTTTATCTCAACTAATTCAAGAAGGGTACCATCAATAATGTGACTACTAGTCCTTAAACTGCCGTGCAACTTTACTATAACTTTTTTTTTATCTGAATAGATGTTTCAACTGTCAGTGCATAATATATGTTTTCTTTTCTTTGTTCTAAAAGGTTCAACATAGCTGTGATAAATAATAAAGTGTATGCTGTGGGTGGATGCAATGGAACAACAGAGTTATCGACTGTAGAAGTATTTTCTTCTGAAAGTGGCTTCTGGGAAAGAGTTGCCTCACTTCCACTTGCCAGGAGTAACATGGGTATATTTATTTGAAAAACATTATATTATGTTTGTTTATTTTGAAATATTTTTTATATCCCATAAACACTCACAGCTCTCGTGTGTGGACCAATGAAAATCCCAATGTAAAAGTTGATTATTCTTTTTGGAACTGGTTCAAAGATGAAGTATATGAAGTAAAAGTAGACACCCGAAATGCACTAATTAAGTGTATTTGAAATATTGCAGGCATTATTAAAGGAAGGTATGAAACAATCAGGAGGGCAACTGTTGCTCTTCGAAGAAGACAATGGTAGTGTTTTCGAACATTTATTGAAATAAAATTTTGATAATCCAAATACCTAATACATGTATGAAATATAGTTTATTTGTAGAAGGAAGCTAGTCGACTGTTCTACATATCATGGGTGATAAATATTCTGAACGCAGTCTTTTTTTTAAACAAAAATTTAAATTTTTTATTTGTGCCAAAGTTTCAACCCAAACATGTGGTTCATCTTCAGGGCTGAAAATTTTAAAATACAATCAGAGATATAATATTATACGACCGATAATGGTAACTAATAAGCTATGGTGATTGATGGTACAGGAATCTTAACTAATATTACAATACACATATTAAAAATGAAATATGTAAGTAGTTATAGAAACTGAAAATTAAAAATAATGTATATAATCCATTTATACAAATTTGTAATATTTTCTCTTACTAACCGTGGTTTGAGCACTGACATTTGGTAGGTAAGTGAAAAGATCAGGGGAAGGGAGAGGATTTCCCAATTGTCCTTTTTCAGATAGCAAAAGGTAGGTAAACATAGTCGGAGGGAAAGGGAGGTAACATTTCTGTTTGTAGAATGTAAATAATTTGCTGACTAAATATTTCAGATGTGTACAATATATGTGTTGTTTCTTATGGTTACAAAATTGTGACTATTGGCTAGTAATGAAATGAACGTAAGCAAGAAGTGCCAATTAATATAAATATAACATAGTTTGATTAAAAGTATACAGTGGTTAGCCAAATAATATTTATAATAAAGACAATTGTAATGGATTGAAATGATATTTAGGACAATACAATATTTTAAGAATAACAATATTAATCATAATAGAAGTATTTATTATATTGAGGATTAGATAGTTTTTGTAGTATAAGTATAAACATATCTGTGCCTGTTTATAGTATATATTTATATTGAGAATGAATATTATATGTGTATATGTATAATAACCTTAGGAGTAGTAGTTACCTATGTAAGTTGTCGGGGAAATGGGGAAAGATGAAAAACAAAATTTAAATGATTATAGACTATTGTTTTAGGAGGCGGAAAATATTCGAATATTTGTTGCAGATCTTTTCTTTGTCTACTTTGTGGTTTACCGGATTTGTTTTCCAAATTAATGAATATAGTTTCTGAAAGTAGTCGTTTTTGATGATTGGGAACTGTGTAAAGTATAATTGGGTTTTCAAAATCAAATGCTTGGTTGACGGTTATGGCGTGTTCCGCTAGTTTTGCGGCGAACGGATTTCGTGTGGAGATGCTGTATTTGTGTTGATACATTTGTTTTTTTAAATAGTTTTTGGTTTCTCCTATATAAGTAGAATTGCAGTTTGGACTAGAGCATGTGATATGGTATACAATATTTGATTGTTGTAGGAGTGGAACAGGATCTTTGAGTTTGGTGTATAGATTTCTTAATTTACTGTTATTTTTGAAAACTATTTGTAGATGGGGGAATTTGGAAGTTAAAGCTTTTTTTATTTTTTGTGATAGGACTGGGATGTATGGAATGGATCTATATTGGGGATTCGTGGTGGGAGACTGAGAGCAGTTTGTGGGAGACTGAGAGCAGTTTGTGGGAGACTGAGAGCAGTTTGTGGGAGAATGGTAAAGATGGGGTTTGGATTGATTTTTGATCAGGTTTCTTATAATGTGATCAGGAAAGGCGTTAGATTTCAGGATCTTGTGTAGTTTGGTTAGGTAATTGTCGTGGAATTGCGGGTCGGTCAATGTTAGACTGCGGTGTATCAGGTTTTTTGCTACACTGATTTTTTGGTGGTAAGGGTGTTAAGAAAAATAGTTTAGGAGACGGCCGGAGTAGGTAGGTTTTCTGTACCAATTGGTGGATAAGGTATTATCATTATTTCTGGAAATGAGGAGATCAAGAAATGGGAGGGAATTATATGATTCTATTTCAATGATAAAATGGAGTCGAGGGTGGTATGAGTTGAATGCAGAAAGTATGTTTGGAATAGCGAGTGGGATGAGGATTAATAAACGGTCGTCTATATATTTTTTAATGAAAAAAATATCGTTGGGAAATTTAGGTAGTATCAAATCAATTAGGTTGTTAAGGACAATACTAGAGAGGTCTGGTGCAAGGCAATTACCCATCGCCAAGCCGGAAGTTTGTTGAAAAAATTTGTTTTGAACACATAGGTAACCGGAGTTACAACATATTTTAATATTTGTATTGTAATATTAGTTAAGATTCATGTACCATCAATCACTATAGTTTATTATTTACCATTATCGGTCGTATAATATTATATCTCTGGTTGTATTTTAAAATTTTAAGCCCTGAAGATGACCCACATATTTAGGTTGAAACATTGGCACAAACTTCTTTTTTTTTTTTTTTAAAATACTGCGTCCTGAATATTTATCAGCCATAGTTTATTTGTAATTAGCCAATAAAGTTCAAACAAATGCAAATCAAATCAAAACATCTGAGTTTTTACAATCATTTTACAGTATGCAACCCACTTCTCAAGTTTGGCCCATTCCTGATTCCTGACCGTTCATAGTTCTTTATCACAATGACTGGGCGAAAGATTTTGTTTGTTTACAAAATTTTGTCACAAAAATATTATTTAAATTTTCTTTTGATTAAGGATTTCAATGCTAGGATTGCTGATATTAAAATGTTATCAAAGGAAGCTATAAAAGGGATATATTGATCGAAAATTACTATAGAAGAGTTAAAGATAAAGTGAATGATGCAATAGTGGTTAAATTGTTATACAGGACAGATATTATATTGCTCAATGGCAAAACCACAGATGATATTAATGGGGATTTAATTTAGTATTATTAGTAAAAAATGGAGCATCAACCATTGATTATGTCTGTGTCTCAAGGGAAATTTGGGACATTGTTAGCTCCTTTAAAATAGATATATAAATCTTTTCGGACCATATGCCCAAAACTACCTGTTGCAAAATAACAATAAACAATTACCAAGATATATTACCTCTTTTGCCAAAAATAAGTTGGTCAACACTGAATAAAGAACATCATCAGAGAAAATTAGATATAAATCAGAGCACATGAAATACTGAACGGGTAAAAGAACTCATAGACACTTTAATAATGTCTGCAATGTTAATTATAACTTTAAGACTAGCTTTATGAGTAACGGTAAATAGTTCAATGGAAAATGGGGAAAGTAAGAAAACAATCCTTTAAGCTGTTAAATAAATACAGAAAATTGCATTTATTTTATTACAAAATAACATATATCCAATAAAATCAAAAGTTTAAAAAGTGTGTTTGATTAAATAAAACAATATTCTAATAATGTTATGAACAAATTACAAACAATAAATAATGCAAAAGACTATTGGAAACTTGTAAACAATTATAAAAAAAAAATTGTTGCAGGGAAAGGCATTAAACCTAGTAATTAGAAGTTTTATTCTTTTAATATATACAATCAACTATCAATGGCGGTGTGAGAAATTTAACCAAACCTAATATTCTTAACTGTTTTTTTAGACAGATTATTAATCATAGAGCATTTGTGTAAAGTAACAAATAAAAGATAATAAGATATTAATTATTATGAAATATAATAAAGCACCAGGAATAGACTGTGTACCAAATGAATTTCACAAATATGCATCACAAAATTTTGTAAATGAGTTACTGAAAGCTTTTAATAACAATTTTGAATTAAGAGTTATACCAGAATCCATTAAGAAATCCTTAATTTTCCTACTACACAAATAGGGTGATGTTAATAATCCTAAAAAAATTAGTGTGATTACATTTACAAATATTGTAGCAAAAATATCACAGTTAATACTGCTTAGGCTAGTGGAATAAGCAGGAAATTATCAACAAATAAATTAATATCTGGGAGGCTTCAGAAAAAAATACTCAACAGTAGAAAATATATTTAATTTATTGATTATAATAAATTTAAGACTAAGGAAAAAGAAGTAGATGGTTTAGGTATTTTTATGGGATTTTCTACTGCATTTTACAGTCTTGAAAGGGAATCATTAATCTATAAATACTACGAAATGGAGATCTCAAATAGAATTATAAAAATCATAAAAAATTTATATGAAAATGTTAAGGCTGTTTTCTGTAAAGAATGGTTAACAACATTTTTCGATATAATAATAATAATAATAATAATCCTCCAATGGATTGATACCAAAGACAACAGTGGCAGGCACGATGGGATTAAAATTACCTCTTGAAGTGCTGAAAGAGGCTCAACACTCGGTTCTCTTGGATACGGCACGTATTGTTCGAAAGTTTTTAAATATCTAAAAAGTAATAGATATTAATCTGAAGTGGCTGGACTTCTGGTCTCCCACCTCAGAAACTTACCCCGCAAAGCGAGAATAAAGAATGGAAATAATAATAATAATAAGGCTTAGCAAACCTGAAGGTTCATAGTTGAGAGTGTGTGTATAAAATATAATTCATGTGTAAATTATTTTTGTTTTTGTATTACGAAGGATTATATGTCATGAATATTAACAGAATATATATTTAGGGGGAACTCTGGCTCCCTTCATAAAATTTTGAGGGAGGGGAAAGAAAGTTTCCCATCTCTCCATTCACCACCCATTAGCACAATCTTAGAATTGTCATTGAATGACTGATGAAATTAAATTATATATATATATATATATATATATATATATATATATATATATATATATATATATGTTTCTGATTGTTTATACTTTCATGCATTTATTTATACTTATTTCTTTTTAATCAGGTGTATGCAACGTTGAAGATAATTTATATTGTATTGGAGGTTTCAATGGTCAAGTTGGGATCAAACAGTGTGATGTCTTTGATCCTAAGACTGGTAAATGGGATTCAATAGCACCATTAAAGATGGGTAAGCAATTGATTTATTAGTACACATTGTTTTTTGGATATTATATTTATTTATATTAACATGAATACACTTTATTACTTTGTCTGTGAAAACAAAATAGCTGGTTCTACTATAGATATACATTCTTCAGAATAATCTCTCAGTAGATAACCAAATGAATGTTTTTCATCTGGATGAATTCTTAGAGTGTTAAAGGGGTCGTACTATATGCCTGAATAGGGTCGACAAATAAGAAAGGTTATTTTGCCATTGGTCATCTTATTGCTCCTCGAATGGTTCCGATAATACAATTTATCTTTACATGTATATTCTTTCCTGTGCTTCTGTTTTGTTGGTCTTATTTATGAAAATAGAAAATTAAATCTTCTTCTTTACTATTTGTATTGAAAGTATTGCTTTTATTTGATGTTCATATTAAACAGTATTTTTTATATTTAATTGCTGTCTTCATCATTATATTTAAACATATAGATATTTTTTCTTTTGAAATTTGATCGATAATCAAATAAGAAATCAATCTGATTCAGCATACTTGAGAAATGAATTTGATCGCTCTTCTTTATCACTATTATCCTAATATAGAAAACATTGCCTTTGTTTTTAACATTATCTTTATTCAGATATTTTGAAAGTAATATTATTCTATAAAATTTTGTACAATATTGTTTGACTTAATTTAAAGCATTTTGTGCTTAATATGTTGTATTTCTCATCTCTATTTAAATAGGTCGTTACCAGAGTGGATGCTGTGGCTATGATGGTAAAGTATGGGCTGTTGGAGGTTGTGATGGCTGGAATAATCTTACATCAGTTGAGGTCTATGATCCCAAGAAAGATTCTTGGTCTTTTGCTCAGCCAATGTCAACACCAAGGAGAGGTTGTGGCTTAGCTATTTTTAATGGTATGTTTTAATAAATTATTTATTGATTTAATGAATCAAATAAAATAATAAAAATTAAATGTCATATTTTTAGGCAGAAACATTAGGTATAACTAAATGAAACATATTATTATCATATCATATCATGTTAATTTTACTTCATTTATACACTTGTAAATGTCAATAAATATTTTTATTGTAATATTTTGTAATTGAAAAATTCAATTTAAATTTTTAAAAAATCATTACTTTTTTTTCTAATAAAATGGGTTGATTTTTTAGTTTAATTTTAAATAAATTTTTAATTGTTCTGTATCATGATTTATTGAGAGTGATGATCTTTTTGAAAAGTTAGTTTTTTCTACTTGTTTAGTTTAATACCTGTCCTCTAAGTCAAGTCCCAATTTTATGACTAAAAACATTTTTACTTATTGAGATTTTATAGTTAGATAAAAAATAAACTTTATTCTGGGACAAGGTCCCTTAAGAATAATAATTATGATTAAAAAAAAACAGAAACCATTTCTAGAAAAACTATGATGTGACTTATTTTTCAAATAAAAAATTTCTGTTTCAAAAAATGTTTCGCAAGTTCGCTTTCCGATTCACAATACAAACTTTTATTTTTTAAATTAAAAACTATAAGTTATAAATATAATGATTGGAGTAATGTTTAATTACTTAAACAAAATATTTTTTAAGTTATTGCTTCATATTGAACAAAATATGGGACTCACTTAAAAAAACACAAATCTTAAATTTCCTACTTTTCTGCTTGTTGAAAATTGGACAATTATTTATATGAACTTTTTTATAGATCTTGATGTCTACTATCAACCTTGTAAATATTTCTCTCTACTTATGGGACACCTTGTATATGTGTGTGTGTTTATGTATAAATTGATTTAAAATGATAGTTACATTGAGAGAAAATAAGAAAGCAGAGCTCCAAGGAATTAATTTTCTAACAAAAATTGCTACTTCTTAATTATTATTGATTTATTATTTCTTAAGTTGTAATTTATTTCTTACAAAGTACATTTAGGATATTATTGAATTAGGAATTCTGTGAAATAAACTATTTTTAGTACCTTAAATTATTTTGATAATTACTGCTACTGCCAATTAAATTTTATTTCTTTATTATATCATAAGGAACTCTAAATAGTTCAGCAGGCAAGGTTCAGACCTCATTGGTCAGAAATTGTGTCTGGCTTTGACAGAAAATTAATGTTTTGTTTTATCAACTCCGGGGTCAGAAAACCAAATTATCTTGGGTCTAATAATTTATGTCTTTATTAGATCTTAAAACCCTTCATTGCTTTTAGTGGTACAGATTTTTTGATTTTTGTAAAAACATTAGTAAAGTTTAATCTTTAGTACATGAATGGTTTGTGGTTAATGTGAGATAAGTACACAAATCTTGATTGTAGGTAAGCTCTATGCTGTTGGTGGATCAGATGGTACACACTCATTATCTACTACAGAAATTTATGATCCTGTGAAGAAAACTTGGCTCCCTGGACCAGACATGTCAGTTGCTAGATCTAATGTGGGAGTTGCTGTCATAGGCCAAAGACTGTATGCAGTGGGTGGATTCTCCGGTATGATTTGTATTTTGATTTATAATGTAGTATTTATTTTAATTTCAAAATATTAGTAATATTTTTCAAGATTATGATAAGAATTTGTCCAACTGTTCTTTACGTTTTTAAACTGTTTCTTTTCCTGATGGAAATAATTTTGTTTTATTAAATACTTTTTCACTACTGGGGTTATCCTTTACCTAAATATCCTTTATGATATTTTTCCATCCTTCTCTATTTAAAGTTACTATTTCGCTGGTGCAGTCCACGACCGCGACTGCTCGCGGTTGACCACTGCTTTAGTGGAATAGAAAGGAACCTATTTCACTGGCGCTGCTAAAGGTAGGAAGGGAAGAAGTTTATATTCCGACGATTGGTAAAGAAACTTTGCACGAATATAGTAATGATAATGGGATCCGTCTGATAAACTTTGCCATCTCGAAAAACCTGATAATTAAAAGTACGACGTTTAAACATAAGGATATTCATAAATATACTTGGACATCACCGGATTCGCAAACACGAAATCAAATCGATCTGTCTTGATACAAAATAGCTGGCAAAGTAGTATAATTAATGTACGGTCTTATCGCGGAGCAGAATGTGGGTCGGTTCATGAATTAGTAATCGCGAAACTTCGACAAAAACTTAATATAAAAAAGAGAAAAGAAAACCGTTTTGATTTTGAGAATTTTAATTTGGACAAATTACAAAATCCATCAATTAGTACCCAATTCGAGCTAGATGTTAAGAATAGGTTTGAAGCTTTAGAGCTTCCTGACTATTCCACGAGGATATTGACAAGTTATGGGTAGAGATCAGGGATAATATTAAAGCAGTCGGTAACTCGTGCCTAGGAAAAAAGGAAAATAAGAATAACAAACCGTGGTTTGATGAAGATTGCTTAAACATGTGCGAAAAAAGAAAAGCCGCTAAATTAAAAGCTCTAAATAATCCTAGCGAAGACAATCTGGAATACTTCCGAACCTCAAAGAACGAAACGACAAAATTGCTCAAAAATAAAAAAAAGGAGTATCTTAAAAATAAAATTATTGAAATAGAAACTAATAAAATCGAAAATAATGTAAGAGACATGTACAAAGGTATAAACAGATCACGTAAATGTGTAGGATCCGTAACATCTGGAATTAGGGATGATAATAACAATATTCTGACCGATCCGGTTGACATATTGAATAAATTTAAGGACCACTTTGACAATATTTTAAATACGGGAAATTATGATCTGTGTCCTCCTTCTGAGTACCAGAGTGCTGAACCGTTGATAGAAGGACCGAGTAAAGAGGAAGTTGAATTAGCTATCGGAAAATTAAAATCTTATAAAGCAGCGGGAACCGACAATATTCCTACTGAACTAATTAAGGCATGCGGGGAAGCTGGAGTTTCTAAAATACATCGGTTGGTTAAAAAGATCTGGGTGAATGAGAAATTACCTGAAGAATGGAAAGAATCTATTCTTATTCCGATTCACAAAAAGGGTCCGAGGACGGATTGTAATAACTATCGAGGAATTTCACTCCTTCCGGTATGTTATAAAATATTTACTTTAATCTTAACCAGTCGAATCACGGAATACGCCGAGGAAATTATCGGAGACTACCAATGCGGATTTAGACGGAATCGTTCGACTATTGATCAAATATTTTCTTTACGGCAAATATTAGAGAAAAAATTGGAGTACAACGATATTGTTTACCAGCTGTATATAGATTTTAAAAAGGCTTATGATTCTATTGACCGCCAGAAACTGTATAATATTCTAATCGAGCAGGTGATTCCTAAAAAATTAGTAAATCTAGTCAGGATGTGCTTGACGGAGACACTTAATAAAGTTAGAATCGGTAATAATCTGTCGGAAAAATTTGAGGTTCGTTCGGGTTTAAAACAGGGGGATTCCCTTTCGCCTGTCCTGTTCAATTTGGCATTAGAACATGCCATTAGGGAGATAATGCCTACCGAGAAAGGGTTGGATCTGGGTGGGACAACATCCGTGCTGGGCTATGCTGATGATCTGGTACTGTTAAGCGAAGACCTTGAAACTATAAAACTAAATACGACAACGTTAATGAAAGCCGGTAAAGAACTAGGACTCGAAATAAACGTGGATAAAACAAAATATATGGTTAGCTGCAAAAATGGCGATACTACTGGTGATATCGATATAGATGGTAATATGTTTGAACAGGTAGATAAATTTAGGTATCTAGGTTCTACGATAACTAGAAAAAACGAAATTGAAGAAGAGATTAAGGTTAGACTGAAGGCGGAAAATGCTTGTTATTTTTCTGTGACAAAACTACTTAGTTCGCGCCTTTTGTCCCAAAACTTAAAAATTAGAATCTATAAAACAATTATCTTGCCTACAGTTCTTTATGGGTACGAAACTTGGCTGCTAACATTAAGGGATGAGCAGCGTCTTAAGGTTTTTTGAAAATAATGTATTGCGTAGAATATTCGGACCGAAGAAGGATATGAGTTAACCGGAGAGTTCAGACGGTTACACAACGCCGAATTGCGTGAACTGTATCCGAGTAATATAATTGAGATAATTTCATCACGGCGAATCAAGTGGGCTTGCAAAGTTGTTGGACTTAGTGACGAGAGAATTCCTAAAAGGTTAATATTTGCTGTGCCGAATGCTAAGCGTCCGAGGGGTAGACTGAAGCGAAGGTCGAAAGATTGCATTAAAGCTGATCTGAAGGGACTGGGTTTGGACGGCGAACGGTGGAGGGAGGTGTGTAATAAGCGATTGGTGGTGTCGGCATCGAACCTTCGGGTTCGCTAAGCCTTTTTATTATTTATTATTTATAAGGTTGAAGTAACAAGATTATTCATTTATTTATTCCACCAGCAATATTTTACAGCGAAATACAAACGATATTAAATAAATTAAAGAATCCAACAAGTTTTATCGTCAGGTAAATACTAAAATCCACCCATTGAAAAATCGATTTGTATTTTTTAATTAAAGTGGTGATTTACTGATTACTATTGATAAAACTATAAAACATCGCCTGCTAGAATTTAATTACAAATATATGATATTTATTAATAATCAATTATGTATTAATTACTATTACTTTTCAAACAAATAATATCTAATATCAGAGGGACTTTGATGATGAGCATCACATCGCAGTACTGATATTCCTTCTCTTTATGAACATTTTATCTTCTTTTTCCAACTCAAATAAAAAAGCGGTAGTCAGAGATGTTCATTATTATAGGATGTTCATTTTTATTATTATATTATGTCTATTTTTTTATCTTCGAAGATACAGCGAAATGTTCGAAGGTTATAGGTAGGTTAAAACAAACCAAGTGAGCAGTTTCAGCGAAATAGCTATGCCAACAGCGGTTGGTAGCGTGAAATAGCGGTCGCTGTCGTGGACCGCGCCAGCGAAATAGTACCTTAAGGCTTGTTCTTCTCTGATGCCATGACCTGCCATGCTCTTTCTTTCACCGCATCTTTCCATTTTACCTTTGATGTTCCCTTTTCCTTCTCCCTTCTACTTCCAGTTTCATACATATCTTTCAGGTGTCATTCTTTTCACATGCCCAAACCATCATAACCTTTTCTTTTCAATATTTGCTATAATGTTTGTCTCCACCTCCATAATTTCCAGGATTCTTTCATTTTTGATTTTTACCCCTCTGGATTTTCTTGCTGCTCTTCTCCAAAAGTCCATCTCTACTGCTAACAGTTTTTTTCGGTTTCTTACATTGATGACTCATGTCTCCGAGTCTATTGGCTCGTATATAGCTATGTATTTTAGCTTCTTTATACTGGGCTGTATATTCGAGCTCCAAAGGATACTGTTGAGTATTGTTGTGACCTCTCTTCCTTCACCAATTTTTCTGTCTATATCATTTATGGATATGCCTTGTCTATTAAATATTGATCCTAGGTATTTAAATTTCTCTACAGTTTTTATACCTCTTTCAATTGGCGTGTCATCAGATGAAGTGCCTAGGTGCTCTGTTTTCATGAAGTTAATAGTCAACCCCCACTTTTTATAAGTCTCGACAACCTTCTTAAAAATATAATTGATGTCCTCTCTATTCTGAACTATAATTACTTGGCCATTAGCAAACATTATGTTCATGATGCATAAATTTTCCCTAATCCTTATTCCCATTTTTCCACATTTTCTTTTCCACTCTCTGAGAGCAACATCAACATAAATTTTAAAAAGAGTAGGTGAAAGGCAGCATCCCTGCAAAAGTAGTTTCGAGGTCTGGAATTCTTCAAAGAGACTTAATCCTAGTTTAACACAACAGGCATTTTGTGGTAATTTCTCTTATGCTGGTTGTTATGGCCTCTGAGATATTTGCTACCTTGAGAGCTGAGTCATATGCCTTTTACTAGTCAATGAAGAGACACTCGACATCTTTAGATTTTTCAAGGTGTTTTCAAAGATCTGTCTCATTGTAAAAAAGTGATTGATGCACGATCTTCCTGCAGTAAGTTGGTCTTCTGTACCCTCATATTCGTATTCTAACCTCTTTTTGACAATTCTTCCTAGGAGTTTCATTAAAGGGTTGGTGACACAGATACCTCTATAGTTAGTCCATAATTTTATATTACCTTTTTGATATATGGGGCATACATACCCAAATCATTTCTAGCCAAGATCTTGTTTATTAATTCTGTGAGAATTATTGCCAATTTTTCACCACCATATTTCAGGAATTCCAGAGGTATTCCACCAGGTCCTGGTACTTTTCCATTCTTACCAGCTTTTAGAGCTTCTTTCACATCTTCAGTGAATTTTCGCCATGTTTTTTCTTTGTAGATGGTGTACTGTTTCCTCTTTGAAATCCTTTCGGTCTTCCTTTAATAGTTTTTCAAAGCATTCCTGCCATTCCTGAATACCTATTAACTGTAAAATTGGTTTTATTGGTTGTCTGTTTCCTTAATGTTTTTAGAACATTGCGTGCTTCTGTGGATTTCCTATATACCAGTTGTGCATATTTCCCATTCATCATTTTTTGCTTTCCGGATTTTGTAGTTTAGGGTTATCTTCAAGTAGGTATACTTTGTTCGACTTAGGCTGTACTTTTTAGATAGCCATTGAAAAGGCGCTTTTTTGTTCTCATTTATCAGAAGTTTTATCTCCTGCTTTATCCAATAGTTGGTATTTTTCTTTCGGAAATTTTCTTCTCGTAGAACTTCACTGGTCATTTTGTTGACCATTGCTATAATGTATTTATACATTTCTTCAGCATTTCCATCTAATTTTTCCTCAAGTTACTGGTCCATTCTTCTTTCATATAACCAACGTATGCAGGAACAATAGCTTAATTTTATATTTTTTCTTCCTGTTTCCTTTTATGATTATGGATTTTTCTCCACAGCCACTCAGTTTTCTCTTTGACAAGAAAATGATCAGAGCCACATTCAGCTCCTCTATACACCCGAACGTTGTGGAATTTGATGGAGCTAGTTTATCTCATTATAATGAAGTCAATCATAGATCTAAAATTTTGTGTCATTTGTGCCCAAGTGAATCTATGAAAGTGTTTGTGTTGGAAGAAAGTGTTCTGTATTGCAAGTTCGAATTCTTCATAAATTTCCTTTAAGCTGTTACCTTTGTCATTTCCATTATCCTCAGTGTATCGCCCAACTATTTTACTTCCAGTTTCCCAGTTAACTCTAGAATTCATATCTCCCATCAAAAGAATTTATTTTATTTTCGATATCTTCTCTTAAGTTCTTGTGTCTCTTAAGTTATTTCAGAAATCGTCTTTCTCAGTCCACGGAAAATCATTTGTTGGAGCATATACTCCTACAATAACGACTTCTTGTCCTAGTAATTTGATTTCCTCTGTTATGATTCTAGGATTAATGAAATCCCATGTTATGATTTAATTTTTAAATTTCTTATGAATTAGTATCGATACTACAGCTGTTTCCCGGTTTGATTTGGTTACTCCACTCTGAAAATGAAGATATTCTCCAAACATTTCTTCTCTGATACCTTTCTTTTTCATTTCAGAAAGTACCACTATTTTGAGTATTAAAATATTTATCTTGGTACATAAGTCTGGAATATTCCAGCATCCAGAATTGATTGTCTGTATCCATTTTCCGTGTTGATACCCATTAGACTGTCCGATTATCTGAGGCTTTAATTTAGGTCTGAGTTCTTTTAGCATTTTTCATTTTTTTCTCTGGTTGAGGAGCTAGCCCAACGCAGAAAGCTCCAGCCTGGAGGAAGGGTTTCCGGTTTTAGCCTTCTCAATCAGCACTGAGCCTGCTGAAGGAGAAGTATCCACTCCGCATGACGTAGACGTACAAGAAAACCATTTAGTCCCCTTTGCTTCCTCCATCACTGGGACTGGCAGTAAAGGTGGGTTTCACTACTACCATAGAAGGTGTCTGTTTAGGGTCTGCGTAGCCGGAAATAAAGTCTTCTTCTCTCACTATCTCCTGTGTGCTGCTAAGCGTGGAGTAGCTGCCTCTGACCATGTTGTCCAACGGTCCCTGTCCTGTGCAAGCCTTCTCATCTCTGGTATGGTGCTTCCTCTCGCTGTGCCAATGGTCTCAATCAGGTCTGCATACATAAGCCTTGGTCTGCCTTGAGGTCGCCTTCCTCCCGGTCTTGCTTCTTGACACCACCTGGCCTTACGGTCATCTCTCATTCTATTAACATGCCCGTACCACTTCAACTGCCTTACTTCAATCGTCTCTATGACGGATTTAACTCCTAGTTCATCTTGCACCCTTTCATTCCTTATTTGAAATAAATTATTAGTCGAAATAAATTCATTGTTTTAAAATAGGATTTAATTTTATGAATAATTTAAAACAGATCCTATGTATCAAAAAATCTACAACAGGATTTCTTTAGTTTTCTCCATAAAATAATTCAACTCTAAGAATCAGAGCTTTTCTTGACTTGATGCAAAAGTGCTCTATATGGCCATCATCAAAAAGATATGTTTATATATGCGTTACACACATATTTATATATGTAGTAAAATCTAGAAATTTGTGTTGGATTAAATTTACAATAATCAAGATTAAAATATAAAAAACGAAATGGTAAAGTCAATGAAAAATGTTATTAATATTTTTATGTATATCCAGAATGTACATACATGGATCACTTTGGGTAAAAACTTTTAAATATTAATTTCTTTGATAAAATAAAGTATTCATTTAGGATATAAAGAAATTTTAGATTGATTTGATGGAATAGAGATTGGCCTGAAGAGAATGATAGAGAAAGATTCTTTTTCAAAACAGAATTCAAACTTTTTCCAAGTTTTAGGAAAGATAGGATCAAGAAGATAAAAGTCATATTTATGCAGTAAAAAGATTGGAAGAATAATTGGAACACAGATCAGAATATGCTTTAGACTGATAAGACCTTAACAGTGTCCATTACTTCTAGATTTAAGTAGTTAATATTGTAGATTATTAAGAAACTAAGGAAATTAAAAAAATCAGAATTAAATATAGTTTTCAGTTAAATTTATTTAATGCCCACAAGTGGCAGATTGTAGTTTTTCCAATTAATATATAAAAGAAAAAAGGGATTTTTGTTTCTAAATGAATATTATTTTTCATTAAATTTAAATATTTTCTTAATTTATAAATCTATTTATAATTTTTTTTTTCTCAGGCAAAACATTCCTCAACAGTATAGAATTCTTAGAAGAGGGGATGGAAGAGTGGAATACCTTTTGTATTAAAGATAAAGAAGAATAAAAATAAATAAATAAATTAAAAATATATGAACTATAGGAATATTTTTATTATCTCTTTTATATATGAAGTATTCCTTTATATACATATATAAAGGATTTATTATGAACCAAAAAAAAATTTAAGTAAATTAATTCATTAGTGCAAAAAAATTTATGTATATTAATGACTGTAAAATATAATATATGATGTAGAGATGGTTGACCGTGATATAATATGAGAAGTAGCTGGTAAGGGAGGGGGTGTGGTAAAAAAAATGCTAAATTAAAAAATAGTATTATTAATTTTAATTTAAAAAATACTATTTTTAATTTTAATTTAAAAAATACTATTTTTTAATTTAGTATTTATTTGACCGCACCCCCCGACCAACTTCTTCTCTCTAATATAATATATGAATTAAAATTGTTTTGACCAATCAAGAAATAATACAAAAGTAAAATTTCTTTGAATTTTTGAAGATTGAATTATTATTTATACTGGAAAACAAAATTTACTTAATAAATGTTGTAGTTACATTATTTCAACCTATACCACATTCACCTTTATTGATACTGTTTGTTTGTATAACAATCCATTCAATGAATGCTGAAAGGTAGAAATATGGAACACAATTTGTGAGTTAGGTACTTTGTTTGTACTAGTTGAGTGGTAAACATATATATATATATATATATATAGAAGTCCACACTCCTAGAAGGTGAGTGGTCTGCAGGAAGCACCCCAAATCTTTTTTTTTCTTCAGTTTTTTGCTTATATTACGGAAGCTATGCATCCTAGCAATAAGGCCATTCATTTAAAAATTGACTACAAGATCAATTCTATTTATTTTTTTCTTTGCTATCTTGCCTAGTTTCCAAAAATTTTCTGAAATTCACTGATTTTTGTATTATTTAATTTACTAACTCTTTGGCTCTTCTTCATACAAAAAGTTGTGAGGAAAAAAACCATAGATTATCAAATTTCTCTAGTATTTTACTATTCTTATATTTAGTAAATATATGATTAATGTTTTTACAAAAAGATCTCCTTTCACCCCACCAGTTTTTATTTTATAAATAAAAAAGTCTTTTTAACAAGAAATTTTATTTTGTCCTTATTATAATGTTTTGATGTTGCATAATGCACTCTTCTCCAACTATCAACCACATGAAGGTCATCTCTGCCATAATCGGCTCATCATCTCATTGTTACCATTTGTTTAAGAGTTATATTTTTACCTGTTAAAAATATATATAATAATTATTTACCACTATAGAAAAATCAGAAACTTTGCTAATGCTCAGAATGAATTTTTGTCTGGTTCATACATTTTGATTTTTCATTAGGCAGAATTGATGTACTACACTTCCTCCTAAAGATTGTTCTGCATTAGGGACCAATGACACAACAGCTGTTATAACACAAATAAAACAGAATTATACTATTAAATATGGGAAGAAACAGAGTTGAAAGCTCTTTGTTGCGTCATTCTCATGAGACTTGTCAAGTTAGGGTTTCCAACTGTAGATTTTCACAAAATTCAACTTACTCTAGGACCTCTGTTTTATATGTATATATATATTATTTGAATGAATGAGAAATGCTTTTCTCTGTATTCACAAAATATACAGAACATTTATATGGCATTATTTGTGTGCCACAAATTTTATGTTTTACAGGTACAGTACAAATAAAGACTAAAGTCTTAGTATTTTGAATAATTTATATCTAAAAAATAATAATAAGGGAAATCATAAACAATAACATAAATAAAACTGACCCCAAATAAATTAGATGGATCATTGTCTATGCTGGATGTAGCAAATTAAACCGGTGGACTCATACATGTCGAGCAAAACTTAGAATTTTACCGCATTCATTCACAGGAGGGGGGACATTTAGAACAGAAATTAAGATATCATTTCGAACTGGGTTAGTTCCAAGAAATTCGGCATGAATTTGACTAAGCAATGAACATTCAGCCAAAAAATGGAACAGGTCTTCCTCCACTGGTAGGTTACAGAGTGGACAATCCCTATATTTCCTGTAAAGCCATGGGATGTAATTCAAATAAAGTAGTTCATACCTGAGCTTAAACAACCAACTCAATTCGTGCCCAGTTAAATCCCAACAACAGCCATCCACGAATTTCAAAATTTGAAGATCATGGCTCAATCCCCTATACAATAGAAATTGATCAGAATTCAATGCCGCTAATTTACACAACTTCCAATGTTGCTGAGTGATTGCAGACCATATTGTTGCCAACTGGTCTTTCCTTAGCGAAAAGCATTCCAAAGATCTGTCGAACCTGTAAGAGTCTCTCCGCCAAATTGCACCAATTTTTAAACCAAAGGGTATTATGTTTAATCACTTCAATGGTTTTTTTTTTTTTAAACATAAATCCTTATAAGCATTCTTGATGATAGTGGATCTAGTTCGACGAAAAAGAGTCAACACGGCAAACAACTAATTTTTTGCGCAGAGGCACTGTCCATCAAACCATATATTTTGCTGAATGTTGACGATATGATTAATATGAGGAAAGTATGAAATTTCTTCAATCTCTAATTTCAAGGAATATTTATAAATATCTGTATATTTATCCATCCAAACCAACTGTGGCAAAAGGGGTAGAACATAACATTCTATAAATGAGATCTCACAAAAAAAACGGTAAATGGTTCTGCTAAAATTCTGAAATCAACAATACCTGAAATATAATCAATTGGACAACAAATAAAATCAATTACAGATTTACCCATACTATTACCGAAGGTGAATTCACCTTCAATATCATTAAATCTACCATTTAAAATGATGAAATCATGGTCATCACAGAGTTCTAATATTTTGGAACCCTGGCCATTAATGACCTTATCTCTAGATTTCCTACAGGTTACAATTAGAATTATCCAAAATTAAATCAGATAGTAGAGACTGAAAATCTGCAATCCTAGCATTGAAATCACCAGCCAAAGCAAATTTAATGTGTGAATTTTTTACAAAAAAGTTAGCCAAACTTGAAAAATCTTTTAGTGCCATGAATCGCCTCAAAAATATATAGACAAAATATGCAATTCAATTAGATTTTTAATATTAATCACTTAAACGTCGTCAATATCCAGAATGTTTTATTTATTTATTTAGAGTTATAACAATCTGTCATGTGGACAATAGTTTGTAATGATACATGAACACATTCATACCATATATACAGAAAATATAAAATTAACAGAAGTAAAATAATAATAAAAAACTATGTACAATAAAAAAATGAAATAACCTAAAGATAAGTAAATTAAAAAACATAAAAACACAGTCATTCCTATATACAATATATACAAGTAGGCAGGGAACCCCAAGCCAGGCTTCTCCCCCAACTATAGAAGGAAAAGCAGGACTCCAAGACATCCCTGTGCTACTCTCTCAACCACGTCACTGGTGCTAAAGCCAGTGGAGTTCGAACGAGAGCACTGTAGCCGCTATATAGTGCTATATACACTCACGTCTTGAGTGGAGAATCTGGCGATTGCCAGAACTCCAAGATATATACTACAAAAGATCTCTAGGCCACTGCTGCTTCAACCTTCGAGGAGGATTGTAGGGATGAGTAGAACTAGATAGGGATTGTGCTAGGGGATTTGGATGATTTATAAGGTTCTGATGGAATTTGGAAAAATTTTAGGGACAAGGTCGAGGACAAATGGGATATTCAGGTCGTGATGTAGGGTTTTGTTGATTACATAGAACGGAATCGACTATTGTTCCGAGGACTTTGGACTGAAAGGATTTCGGATGCGTTTGATGTTAGAAAATTTTGCTGTCCCCCAAAGTTCAAGTCCGTAGGTCCAAATAGGTTTCAGGATTGTCTTGTAGATCAGTAATTTGTTTGCTAATTGAAAGTTGAGATTTTCTAGTCAGTAGTCTGTATAATTGGCCGTATCGTCGGTAAAGTTTTTGTCTTTTAAGTCTAGTATGTGGGTTCCACGTTAGTCTTCGGTCTAAGATAAAGCCAAGATACCAAATTGTGTCTGAAAAAGGAAGCTGGATGGAATTAAAGTGGACTGATGGACAGGATCTGCGCCGGAGTGTGAAGGTAATGTGTTTGCATTTGGATTCGTTTACTTTGATGCGCCATTTATTACACCAGTGCTCAATCATGGAGAGGTGCCTTTGCAGATTTAAAGATGCTATTTCGGGATCTGAGTTGGATGATAGGATGGCGGTGTCATCAGCAAATGTTGCCAGGAAGTTATTGGGATGGACAGGGATATCAGCGGTAAAAAGGATATAAAGGACGCTACCTTGGGTAACACCGGCTTCAACTGGGTAGGAGTTGGAAAATTCTGTACCACAGCGAACCCGAAAGGTGCGATCAGAGAGGTAGGAGCGGAGGATTAGGTACAAGGACTGGGGTAGATGGGTTTTCAGCTTGGAAAGAAGGCCGGCGTGCCATACCCGATCAAAAGCTTGAGGTATGTCCAGAAATGCACCCGAGCAATATTGCTACTTTCCAGTGCTGCGGAAGTTTTTGTAAGTGATGTTTGACCTCAGAAGGATTAACTGCTATAGGGGGTAAGGAAAGTGGAATGGGGGATGTAAGGAATTCTTCTACTGTTGTGGTATGGGTGGGGTTGGATTCCGGATGTGAGGTGAATGTTCTGGAGAGGTTTCTGGCGAATTCCTCAGCTTTGTCTTCATCAGATGCTGCCCAGGAGCCATCGCATCGACGGAGGGGATGGGAAATATGATGGGATTTAAGGATTTCGTTGGTGATCTTCCACAGAGAATTGTCGTGAACAGAGAGGGAAGTAAGGTAGGAGTTGAAGGATTGGGATTTGAAGATGTGAAGTGAAATAATTATAAGAGCGACGATCGGTGGGGTGTCTTGAACGTTGCCATAATATTCTGACACGGCGTTTGATGTGAATTAGGTCTAGCAGGTGCTGAGGTAAATTATTTTTCTTAGGAATTTTCAAGGAGAGATTTGGGGAGGAAGCAGTCCAGATTGCTTGCTGAATAGTGGTGGTAAAGGAATGTACGGCATTATCGAGGTCTTCTGGGCTTTTCAGTGTTATTCTGAGGTCAATTTTATCGGAAAGGATTTGATGAAAGAGTTTCCAGTTAGTTGGGCCTCTGACGAAGGACGGTGAAGGGGTTTTAGGAATAGGAGCTATTGATTATTGAAGTATTAATGGACTATGACCTGAGGAAAGTTCGTCAAGACGGGTAAGGGAATGATTGAGAGGACCTAAACCACTGTGGATGAAAAAATCAAGGATATCAGGATTACGGTTAGGATCAGTGGGCCAGTAGGTTGGTGAGTTGGGTGGAAGGAGACTGAAACGTTGGGAATTGAGTGCAGAAGACAGAAATGTTCTGCCACGAGAATTCGTGGTTCTTGAACCCCATACTTGATGCTTGGCATTTAAGTCTGCACATAGGATGAAATGATGACCTAAGGAGTTGAGGAGAGAACTGAACTGGACTTTGGATATGGATCTGTTAGGAAGGCAATATACTGACGCAAAGGGTGACTGGAAAGGAGAAGGTTTTGATTACAATAGCGGTTGATTGTAGGAAATCTTGAGTAGGTAATGGGAGTAGATGGTGGGAGAGGGAATGGTGTACGATGACAGCAGTACCGGCATGTCCTCTACCGTCAGGATGGTCAGTATGGTATGTTATGTACTGTGGGATTTTTAAATGCTGTTTTATGGTCAGTCGAGTTTCTGTAATTAGGGCTACGTCAATGTTCTTGTCTTGTAGTAAAGCTGTTGGTTCGTCAACGTGATTTCTAACACCATTCGCATTCCAAAGGAGAATGGATATGGGTTTTGGGATATGAGTCATTAAGGATTTTCTAAAGTAGGGATGAGGTGAGATACGAGATTTGTGAGGAGTGATATGAGTGGAGTAACTAGGGATTTGAAATCGGTGAGGAAAGATGCTAACAAACTGGGGAGATCTGTTGAATTTGAAGGAGGAGGAATTTGAGGTTGTTGATGGTTATGTGTGTTAGGATGAACGGAATATTGAGGGTGGGGCTGAGGTAGTTGCTGCGGCAGGGCTTCACATGTATTATTTGGGTTC